CCCTCTTATTTCTTTAAGATAAACTGATACTGTATAGATGTTTGTGAAGAAAGAAATATATGATGCAGTGAACCCAAAAGAAGCTTGTTATTTGGGGAAAATACACAGCGCGCTGTGGCACAGCAGAGGAGACCCACCACATAATTTCTGTTACAGATTGTTTTTTCTGTTTTTCTGAAAAATCATTCTCAGATATGTTATCCACCCATAATAACCTGTGAGCCTTCAGGTTGAGAGCTAGTGACTTGGATACACCTTCAGCAGTGTATACAAATTGCAGAAGTTGCGTTAGTTCGAAGTATACTGTGGCCAGATCATTCTGATTAGCTGATACACGTTAATCCTTTAATGCATTTTAATATTTCTTAAAGAAGCTGAATTGACTCACTGAATCAAAACTCTGTATACTGTTTTGAATCAAATCAAATTGTTCTTAAAAAATGCTTTTGAATCGAATCTGAAACCAATAAATCGTGAGTTGAATCAGTTTGATAAGGTGGCACAGGTACACTGATGACTGTTCTGTATTACAGGGAGCGAGAGCGGCGGGAGAAAGAGAGGGATGAGTGGGAAAGGCAGTACGGACGTCAGAGCCACTCGCCGTCCCCCAATGCCAAATACAGTGAGTAATGCATCTTTCTACGCAGAGCCAGTTAGTAGAAAACAGTAGCAGAGGGGTGCCCTGTCTTTTATAGTGAGGACTGACCACAGTATAGCTTTTTAAGAAAGCTTCATGACCATTGATGGTGGAGCAGTATCAGTTTGAGAATCTGTTTTATTAGCCAAGTGAAGCTGGCATTATGCTTAAAGAACTCTTGTGCATGTCTCAGCGCTGCCAGAGGCTTTTTAAGTGATGCAGGCAACCATGTGATACCATGTGGACCTCAGACAGGGATTAGACCTTCACTTCAGCAAGCAGCGCACACCACACTAGGGCTGGGCAATACAGCACCACCACCAGTATACCTTGATGTTGACGATTTTAGAAGTGGGAGATATGGGAAAATGTAATATGATACTTCAGCATGCTTTTTATGATGCACAATGTGTCACAATGTTTTTTTTTTTATCTGACATCTCATAAATTAGAACAGACAAAGTAGTGCCATGTTTTTAAATACTATCTAAAACCATGAATCCACTTACTGGTATTCAGCATTTCACACTCTATGCTGTATGGCTGGGCAGTGTGATAATGTATATCATTATTGTGATAAATTATATCACAATACAGTATGCTATTCTGAACATATCATGCATATGGTTAGTACTTGTAGAACACTGACCAACTGTGTATTTCATTATGAAGAGAGCAAAATTAGTCCCGTTTAACTAGATTTACACACAGTTTGCCAAATATTGAATATTGTGTTCATAGTTCTTCATTTTTTTAAAAAATGCAGCACTACTTGTGTTTTTTTTTTCCCTCTCTGTTTAACTGATCAGACGTCTGGAAAAAATAAATTGTATCCTGAAAATTTCTTTAAGTATTGTGATATTATATTTTTGCCATATCACCCACCTCTACTACACTAAATCCAATTAAGCAGGACTACTTATGCTCTCATTTTAATCAAACATGCAATTGAGAAGTTATTTCTATGTACTGACGATATCCACAGTATGCTTTAGAAAGCATATTCTGACACATTGTGCTGTATCACAATAAGGATAAATATTGTCATATTGCCCAGCTCTATGTGATGTTGCTTTTTAGTTGTAGTAATATAAGTGATAGATAATGAGCTTTATATCCATGATAAAATAGTGGTCTCCTTGTTACCAAGTTTTTTTTTTTTCTTTTGTTTTGTCCTTTACTAATCATATTCACACCTTGACAGTTAACGGCAAGGTATGTTATTTGTTGTGTGCTTCAAATTTTTTGAAAGAACAATTTAAAACCCATAGAATTTAAATGAATATTTAGTTTTATTATGGAAATTTGTGAACATTCATCCGTACATTACTAATACTGAGGAAGGAGTTTATTAATGCTAACTTAAATATCATCACACTGATATATTTGAGAAATATCATGATATTGTATATTATCAGGATCACCCAGCCCTACATAACACCTTATAAAGTTTGCAAAACCGCTACTACCATCTTAAGACATCAAGGGTGGTAAAAAGAGAAGAGAGTTAAACATTACATCTTATCCTAAATGTTTTTGCACCCACAGGTCGAGATTACAGCTCATCCAGAAGGTAGGCGAAAACTCTTGTTCATAAACTCGACAGAAAACTGATTTGGTGAGCTAAACTCCTCCTGCGCTTAAGATCCAAACACTGAGCTCTTCTCTGTTTCTGCAGGAGGTCCCGCTCCAGATCGCGAAGTCCACACTACCGGTACTAAACAGAGCACCTGCCACTGTGAGAGTCAAGTGCGTTTGGAAAGAGCAGAGCAAGGAGATGAGATAAGGCACATATGACAGGGATTGGAAGAAGAGATGGAAGGTGGTGTGAAGGTTTCTGAGGAAATGGTTTGGGGGAGTGATTTCAGATGATCTTTTTTTTGTTTGTTTTTTGGTTATTTTCTTAATCCGATTCCTGACCTGCGCCCTGTTTGAAAGGATGGACTGCCCTTTGGTTGGTACTAATAAATTTGTCTATTATTTCAGTGGAAATAGACTTTATTATCTCTGCTATTATGTTTCAGAACATACTGGGAGATGGCCTTGCTTTAGGGATAGTGGCCTGATGTGGAAAATGTCCCTTGGATGTTTTGAGTTGCCTTTTGCAGAAAGGTTAGCTGTATATGGGATGAAATTAAGTTGACTCACTCCGTTTTCTCACTCTTCTGTCCTCTCTTCATGGGCATCTCCCTTCCTTTCCCCATCAAATGGAACTGAGGATGGTCTTAACTTTACAAGCAGCTAATCGAGAAACTAATTTTACAGTGTGAATAAGAGATCAGCCCCAACTTTGTACATAATCAGTTCATGTAAGAATGTGTGGAAAATTCCTGAAATGCAAAACTTGAACCCCACAATGAGAGGATGTTGATCTTTTAAAAACATTCACTCACTCGCACTGTAAATATCTGTCTAACTGCCATCAGTGATGTTTTTGGCTTGTGCTTTACCCAAAGTAGACCTCAATACATCCAAATAAAATGCTTATAAATAAATAAACTGTTTGGTGATTTATTTTGTGTACATTTTTCCATAAAGTTGGATACTAATGATTCCAGCATATGGGTCAGTTTCCTGGACTGGGATTAAGCCTAATCCTGCACTGTTTCCCCTTTCGGTGGAAAACCTCCATTTACAATGCTGTGTAGGCTTAAAGGAGAACTCTTTAACTCCTTAACTGCTTACATTTTAATACTTTCGACATAAATGGTTAAGAGGTAAACAGTCATTCAGAGTGGTTTGATGTGAAATGCTCTGTTTTAGAGAAATTTACCAAGCCAGAATTGTTTGCAGTGATGGTGATAGGAACCAGATGTCCAAAGAGTTAAATGCTTCTAAAAGCTTGATTCACAGAAAGTAATAATAGCAAATGGTTATGAAAACACTGCCTAACTCCCTTAAAACATTATTTTACGATGTTTTGGCCTACAACATATTTTTTAATAGAGTGTGAGGAGGTACAGTCAAGGTGCTGTAAGGCAGAATGGTTCCCAAAGAAAACTTTTCACTATTATTTCCAGATTTACCACTATTTTACCATTAAAAAAGTTACATATGAACACTCAGAAAACATGAAGCTCACTGGTGGTTCAAACAAAATGGTTAAATTTGTGCTGTAGACATTGTGACCCCTGATTCCTGTCACCACCACTGTAAAGAAACCGGTCAGTTTGTTCATCTAGAACTAAGCATTTCACACCAAACCATTCTGCATGACTTTGTTTACATCACAATGACCGAATTAAGTAGAGTTTTTGAGAGAAATTCTTCTTTAATCCCCGTTTGAGAAACCAACGTCCATAAGTCATCGGTTTATCCGAGAACAAGGTTTTTCCCCTTTGCTGCAGTCTCTGCTCTTCTGGGAAGGCTTTACTCTAGATGTTGGACCATTGCTGTGAGGATTTGATTGCGTTCAGCCACAAGAGCATTAGTGAGGTCAGGTATTTATGTTGGATGATCAGTTCTAGATCATTCCAACTCATCCCAAAGGTATTGGATGGATCACTGCTCCAAAGCCAAATGCTGGGGGGCTTTATACCCTTACAGCCAACGTTTAGCATTGGGCATGGTGACTTTAGGCTCATGTGTGGCTGCTCCAGAGCACCAGTGTCTCCTGTGTCTGGATACTTTTGAACATATAGTGTACATCTGGCATTTTGCATGATTGCTTAAAAAAGTTTAATTGTCCCACCAGATGGCGCAATTCAGCCTGCATACGTACATTAATGTGAACGTAGGTTAAATCTTTTTTTTTTTCTGGTTGTACAAGGTTCAGCGCGCTAACTGTATTTTTCACAACTCGAGATGTAAAGGTGCAGAAAAAAAGGGGCCAAGAAAAGTTTGGTTTCGAAATCAGGCGGACAGCGCAAACACCTGCCTGAGGCGACCTCGATAAACCCACTTCCTCCTCACCCACATCCTTCAGCCAGCCCGTTTTTTATTGGTGTCACTGCAGCTGTGTTTCGTCAAAACAACCGCAAACACCAGTTTTTCTCATCTCATGTTTATATCCCAGTCCATTCTGGACGAGTTGGGCTGTTTTAGGCTGATATTTGAAGTGCAATCGGTCCCATCGTGGATCAATAGGGCTCCGGATCTACGACCAGATCCGAGAGGTTTGAGGAGGACAGCGGCGTGGGCGGGGCCGAGCACGTAAATGAGTTCAAAACCACGCCCATGCGAGTGTCGGCCCCGCCCCGCTCTCCTCAGCACTACAGGACCGTTTGTGTGAACTTGAGCACTGACGGGTGGAAGGGTACGACCGAGAGCGCAACCCTCGGAGGAAAGAAAGAAAAAAAAGGAAAACAGCAGTTCAGTCTATTTTCTGCGTGTCTTATGACACCGTTTGTCGTCCTCGGTTACTCAGAGCCATAAAAGTGACTGAAAAACCAGCGGATAAATACAATTAAAAAGCGTAAAGCTCAGCATGTCCAGGCGCAAACTCGGCAGCAGACCACAACACCTGAGCGTCATCCAAGGTAAGCTGAAAAAAAAAAAACACTTCTGCTGCTTTCCAGTGACGAAAACAGGGCATTAGGGTGATTCACACGCTGGAATATTTCACTGACAGTAAGCAAGAAGTAAAACAAATTGGTTTCCATTAACTTTATTACCACATTAAAGCGTCCAGGAGTTGTCAGAAACTTGACACTTGGCAAAACGTGACAGAAAAGCTGGCTTGCCATGAGGTAAACCGTTGGTGTGGCACGTGCTGAGGGGGGTATTTACTTTATAGCAACAGTATGGCTAGCACTGTGCCATTATTTGTCATTTTGGCTGGACAGTTTCTTCCAGTGGGAGACCCAACACAGCGTGGTAGCTTAGCCTACTTCCTTATTGCTTATTGCATCTTCCCCTCAGCCCATCGTCTTTTCCCCCCTCTGTCTTTAGAGGCTTGTGTCCATTCCTTTTTGTCTGCAGTGCTTATATGCTACTTATTTATGTGCAGTGATATTGAACCAGTGCTTCCTTTAAAGGGGAACTCCACCGTTTTGTGCAAAATTTCTGAATAATTTAGTCCTTAAGGTGTAAACAGAGTCACCCAGAGTGGTTAGATGCGAAGTGGTTGACTGCAGAGAAACTTACAGACTCAGATTTCTTTACAGTGGTGGTGACAGGAACCAGGGGTCGCACTGTCTGCAACACAAATATAGCCATTTTATTTACTGTCCAAAACCACCAGTGAACCTACACGTGTCTTTTGAGTTATGTGTAACATTTATGCTGGTAAAATAGGCATAATTCTGAAAAAATAAGCATTCTTTAAGGACTGTTTTGGCTTGCAATGCCCTGTGTGTATCTCTGTGCCATGAATGAGTTGCATATAAATGGTTTGAAATACATTTTAAGCCAAAACTTTATCACCGAACTACCATAAAAAGTGTCTCAGACATCAGGCAGCATATTTAGAACCATTTCAGGTAAGAATCTTCTGTGAGGGAGATTTCAGAGGCATTAAACTCATCGGATGTCTGGTTCCTATCACTACCACTGTGAACGGTTCTGAGTCTATTCTAAGCTTCTCTACAGCAGAGCATTTCAGACCAAACCACTTTGAATGACTTTGTTGACATCTGAGTCATTTAATTATGTAGAATTTTTTAAAAATCAGTCGAGTTCCAGTTTAACAGGAGAAAAGACAGGAAGGGAGTTGCTCAAAAATTAAAGAAGTTTTTCCAAACAAAGTGGAGCACCTGAACAGGGTGAATTGCAAAATCTCAGATGGCCCCTTGCTACTTAAATAGGGCACTACATAAAGGCTTCTACAGGCAAAAAACGCCCACTGTACGTCCATTTGGCACTCAGCCCAGCTCAAGTCTAGACCTATAGATTTTCAGATGTTTGAGATAAATGTTTCTCATAGCCAGGAAATAGGTTGGCTGTTTTTCTCTGTCTTCCCCCCCCCCAAAGTGAGGGCAGCCGTGCTGAGGTGGTTTTGAGAGGCCACAGCCGCGCCTTGTGCCTGTCTGTGCAACACAAACAGGAAAGGTGGCATTTTTTTGAGTGAGCGCTCGCCTCTCTGGGCACTGTCTGGACCTGCAGCGGCCTGGCCGGCCCGGCCCGGGCAGGTGCATCCAGTCCAGGCTGCTGGAGATATGGAGTCGTGACCACAGCAGCCTGAAGGGCAAAGTTACTCATCTGTCTGACAGCTTTAGCAAGAAACAGCGCCCATGCACCAAGTTATGGAGATTTTTGTGATGGGCTGAGTTATCACAGGATGAGAGTATTGAACTCCGTTCGGGGCTAAAGTGGGCTAGCAACGTGTGTAGCCTTGATGAACGTCACAAAAAAAGGCCCAAAAATTAAGAAGAGTGTTCTAGGTTGTACTGTCAGTGGAAGAAAGTATTTATTCCATTCAAGGCTGCTTCCAGAGTTGGGCTGAGGTGGTCAGTCACATTTCTAGTGTTGGAAGACACCACAAATGGTCAGGAAAAAGGTTTGTACTGTCAAGAAATTAAGGTACTGGCAGCATCCAGGGCTGCTTCTCAGATTGGGCTAAGGTGGTGAGCCATATTTCATGTCTTGGCTATCACAACAAAGGGTCAGTAAAACCTTAGGAATAGTCTACGTAGATCTAGGTTGTGGTGTCAGTGGAAGGGGGTATTGATCCCATTCAGGGCTGCTTGCAAGGTTGGGCTGAGATGGTCAGTCAGGTTTCTAGTCTTGCTAAACACCACAAAAGCTTTAAAATATGATCAGTCACATTTCTAGTGTTGAAAAAGAGTACAAAAGACTGGAGGAATAGTGGTTTGGGTTGTGTTGTTACTAGATGAAGGTACTGACAACATCATGGGCTGCTTCAAAGATCAGACTGAGGTGTTCAGTTATATTTCTGATCTTGATAAGCACCACAAAATTCAGATAAAGCTTAAGAATAATGATCTGGGTTGTACTGTTAGTGGATGAAAGTGTTGACCACATTCAGGGCTGCGTCCAACATTGTGCTGAGGTGGTCATTCAAGTTTCTAGTCTTGGTGAACACCTCAAAAGGCCAGAAAAGCATAAGAGTAGTGATCTAGGGTGTACTGTCACTGGATTGTGGGCTGCATTCAAGGTTGGGCTGAGGTGGTCAGTTACGGTTGTAGTGATGGAAAATAGCATTAAAGGTTAAAAGAGCTAAAGAATAGTGATCCAGGCTGTGCTGTTAGTGCATGAAGTTGTTGATTCCATTCAGGATTGCATCCAACATTGAGCTGAGGTGGTCAGTCACCTTTGTAATCTTGGCAAACACCAGGGCGCTGATAAAACTATAAAAATAGTGATAAATTAAACAGCTAATCATTAAGTTCATCTAACCAGGGTTGCTGCTTCTAATTGCCAGCCCCTGTTCTAGTAATCCTCATTATTGTCTGTTTCTTATTCATGCTTAATTGAGCTAGGCTTCACTGTCCTGATTATAATCGTACTACAGTTTAAACTCAAAGTGTTTTTGTGGGGTGCAAAAGCCACCTTTGCTGAGTACGGAGCGCTTTTTGCAAATGTTGAGAGGTGAAGGGTGTATCTGTAGATCAGTGCGTTGGAGTGGTCGGCGAGCGTGTCGCCGGTGCACGCAGCAGCTACGCTGAGCGTTTCCTGTGTGAAGCAGGCCGAGTGGCAGAGACACAGGAAGTGGTCAGTATCTGCTGACCAGACAGTGGCTGACTGAGGGTGGCAGATGAGCCGGAGCCCAAAGCGCCTGCAGAGAAGCGAAAGTAACGCTTCATCAAACAGAGAGAGAGAGAGAAACAAAAAAACAGGCCAGTTGAGTGCTGTTTGAAAGCCGGTTAGGTTGGTCACTCAGAGAGCTTCAGGGGATGTAGTGTGATGTGACTGTGTGTAGTTGATGGTAGTGTTACTCAGAATGAGAAAAAAAAGAAGTGACAATCTTTTATTCACAAAGCACAAAATGATTTTTTTCTGAAATTCAGATAATATGTATCTACTTTCCTTGTTAGTTTATCAGGTCCACTTAACATATAGTTACATTTTGTATTTCAATTACAAATTGTAGTCCATCTGTTTCTCTGAATAATTTTACCCCCCTTTATCTCTTTCATCAATGGTCAAGACACCCACAGTACCACCACTGAGTAAATCATTCTCGTCATTGAAACTGTAGCGGCATGTTATGACGTTTTTCCACTGGCCAGTGAGGTGCGGTACAGTACGATTACGGATCCATGATCATACATTTTGTTGTCAATTCTGCTGCCAACGTAATGGTGTAAAGTCCCACTAGAAATGGTGCAAACCACTGATTGATCAAACGCAGTCGTCACACAATTGTTACGCAGTATAACCACCTGACCATCATTTAAAAAACACTAGCCAGCCAGATTCACTGTGTGTGACATAAAACCAAATGCAGATTTAAAGGTAAATCAAAGCTTGAATTTGCTCTTTTGTTGCCGTTGTTGTTTGTGTTTACTGTTAACGCTTGATTTGCGTCAGAAATCGTGGAAGGGAACTCCACCTACGTTCACAGTTCTGTTGTGATGGGAAACGGACGCAGCTGCCTGACCAGGGTATGGATAGTTCTGGTTTCAGATTTGTAACCATACTGTGCTGTACCGTATTACCCAGTGAAAAAACACCATTAGATCTGACACAGCGGTGTTCCTGGAGTTTTTAAACACTGTGTCCACTTACAGTCCATCTATTAGACACAACTACCTTTTTGTTCCACCTGTGTTCCACGATAGCTCATTAGTTGCTGCACTGTTTGTATTAGTCATCCTCTAGTCCTTCATCAGTGGTCAGTTTTTGGCCGCAGGACACAGTTAGCTGGATATTTTTGATTGGAGGGCTAATCTTAGTCCAGTAGTGACCCTGATTTGTTTAAAAGAGGATTCGAGAACGGTCCGCCACCAAAATAATGCCTGTAAATGGTGGTCCTGTGGTGGTCCTGTCTGGAGTAAAAAGCCGCTAATAAATAATCCAGAGAAACAGGTGGAAGTTCACCTATATGGTAAGTAGACCTGATAAAACGGACGAGTGTAGATACAAGGAGGTGTGCTTAATGAAGTGGCCAGTGAGCTTATACATATATTTTGCATTTGCAATGTGCATATATTCAACTAATCACAGAAGAAGGAAATGAGAATGGTCCTAATGTGTTTACGTGACTTTTTTCCCCCCATGAGGTATTTACCTTAATGATTTTCCCTCTCTCTCCTTCCCTCTCAGATGCCCCAGAGGCCAATGTGACCCCCAGCTCCTCCCCCTCTCCTGACCATGCAGGTCTGCCCACAGCCGGAGGTAGTGACCTGTTGACCTGTGGCCAGTGTGGCCAGGCTTTCCCCTTGGCCCACATTCTCACCTTCATCCAGCACAAACAGGGAGGATGCAGCAGTGTCAGGGCGGGTCCAGTAAGCCACACCCCTCAGTCTCCAGCCAATCACACACTCCGACGCAGCCCAGGTGCGCAGGTGGAGGCGGGCTACGTGGAGCTGAGGAGGGTGACGGACAGGCGGTGGGAGGAAGAGCCAGGTGTGAAGGCGGAGGCTAATCGCGCAGGTGAGTGAGTGCTGGGCGCTAATTAGTGTCATTCTTTTATTGTCCTCCACTCGTTTAACGAACTTGCCCCCAGTCCGTCTCATTAGGCCGCCGTTGCTGCGGCGCTGAAGCCTTTTGTGAGTTAGAGACGCTGGCGCTAATTGTCTGGAAGGGACAGGCAGTTCAGTTACAGGCTCATACACACACACACATACACATACGTAAATGCACACACACTTGCACACACCCTGGGGGGGTGAGAGAAAGGCACACCTGAGCATCTCCTTGGCTTAGTCTCTGAGGTGAAATGTCCAGGTAAACACAGTACAGTCAGGCCATGCAACAACTCCCAAAGCACTTTACATACAAACACGCCACCACCAGTCAGCAGTCAGAGAACCGGTTGGACCTTACATCAATCTAAGCATTGCTTGCGTTCTCCCTAGACCTTAAATGAAAGTTATTCTTTTGCTGACCACAATCATCCACAGTAACATAAATGCATAAATTTGCATGAGACATTGTTTGAATTTTTAGCTTCTGCATACTCGCACCACCAGATGTTGGCCAACTTGTTTAGCGCCTTCCAGCGAAAGAGATTCTTACTTTCTGTCCTGCTTGAGTCATGTGGTCCAATCACATAATTTCATTCAAAAATTCTGCTGGTTTTATTGATCCACAAAATGAGTCCTGCCAAGAGCTGTCTTTTTCTAATTGAATGTTGTGCATGACCAATCTGAAAATATGCATGTTAGCAGTGGTTTAAAAAGGCCTGGGTACCTAAAAATAATTAGCACAATTAGGCCTGTCATAATCATGAAATATATAAATACAATATATAAAGACATCAAAATAATTGTGATTAACAGTTTGTCTTTTTTGTGTTCATTATATGCAACTGTTAATGTAAAGCCTAAAGTGACCAAATGAGCTGTTAGGTGATCTTGCTTCGTAGCTCTCGACTGAAGACAGACACAGCTTGAGCTCAAATAAACAAACAGTACTCTGACAGTGTTACAGCACCAATCAGGTGTTAGAACTTGTGCTTTATAAAACCCAAAACATGTCACAATAAATAGTTCTTCTTTCTTTTTACATGAATTTGCCTCAATTGAACTGATAAACCATTCACATTGTGTTTATTGTGATGTAAACATATGGCAACTGTGGACAGCTTAAATAATTGCGATCAGGTGATTATCTAATAATTTTGACAGGCCTTTGCACAATATTTTCTTGTTTAAAAATTGGGATTATTGATTATTGATTATTCTCCCCAGGAGAGAAACTTCAGACTGAATCCACAGCAGTGTTACATTAAAAAAGTAAATAAATAAATAAATAAATAAAAATGCTTTCTGTCATTTAAAGTGACAGTTTCCCTGGAATTCAGGTCTGGACACCTGTGGGAATATTATATTTCCAGAATTTTACAATTCATTTGACCCGTTGGTGCGCTTAAACTGGTTAGAATGTTTTTTCAGACAGTATGTCACACTCTGAGAAACCCTTAGGATAGACATTAGGTAGTTTGCTCGACTGCAGCCTCATTGCTTATCAATGCCCCATAATAATCCATTGTTTCAACAGTTAAAGGAAACAAAATATTATTTGTAAATATCACAAAATTTTATTTAGCAAGTTGTTTAAAATTAAATTAGTTCTGTCAGTTCGTTTTTTGTGCATCATCATCATCAGGTTAGCTAATTGTCACAAACATCCATTTACATTGGCCCAGGCCTAGTTTTTACATTTATTGGCACAGTAGTGTCTTTGTTTATTGCTACTGGCATTACACTGCTGAAACTACCAAGACTTTATCACCCACAGTCATTAATGATTTCCTGTCATTTCCGAGCTAATGTGGCATAGAAACAATGGGCATGCATCACTAACTGAGGTTCTGTGCTCTGTTCGGGTTCTAAGATAAAGAACATGCATGGACAAAATTGTAGTAGATATATACATTGCAATATAGTAAAATGCACTGGTAAATTAATAATGTAACATGGTTCAAGATCTGTATTATTTTGGGCCAAAAAAAAGTATCTGTGTTGGATCACATAAATACCTTGATTCATCAGAACGCCCACAGAAAGTTGTCTGGGACTGTGATTAGTCAAAATGCTCAGAGCATGCAGTAAAAAACAGTTGGTTAGAGTCTCATTTGCATTTTATAGTCTTCTCCAGTATCAGTACAGCAAAAGCCAGTATTGCAATAATAATTAACAAGCAATATATTGCGCAGCCTTAGCTTGTGCATGGATATGACTGCGGGGTGTTGCGCTGCTTTGTTACAGTAATCTGGCGAGGTCACTAGATCTGTGCAGGTGCTGCTGTTAGTCTTTATTTGTCTGAACTACTGAAGTGTGACTTCAGCGTTTCCTTTCGACGCTTAGTGCCCCAGAAACGGCTGCCTGCAGCCCGTCTTCTAAACCAGAATCCAGAGCCGCTGTTACCTTCTCACGGCTAAGGGTTAAGCTAAACAAATATGACAGTTTATTAAAGGTGAAAAGTATTCATCGAGGGACCGGGGTGGTTATGGCTGATCATTATCTACAGCACACGCACATGTACATTTTGACGCGCACATGTTTGCACTTCCTTCCTTTGTGTGGAGCTCAAGGGACAGTCGCACTCTGCTTCCTTCTGTCCACATCTCTCTGCTCTGAGGGCTTCAGTCCCTCTTCTTTAGTTCTACAAGCACAAATGTATGCATATGTGTGAGAGAGATTGTTTATGAAAGGAAATCTTAAGCAGGAATGAGAGAGCGATAGTAGCAGTAGTATATGTCTGCAAGTTGCATGATAGAGGAATATAACGCAAGAAATTGAATGTTTTTAAATGGGTGTAGTGGGGCTGAACGATTATAGACAGTATTCCATATTGCAGTTATACAGCACCATTCAAAAGTTTGGAATCACTTGTCATGTTCTGTCCAGTTTTTTGGGAACACCAAGAAGTTATTAAATAATCAATAATATACCATAGTTTTTTATACAATATAGTGTTTATATAAATGTCTCTAACTTAACTGAATCAAGATTTGATCACCACTTTTGAAATGCGAAGCATTCAGGGCTGGATTTCCCAAAAAGCATCTTTGTACATAGATGATTCTTCAGTGGTAGAGCGAGCGTCACACTGAACACACTTTCTACCAGTTAAGATGATCTTAACACTGAACTCTGGATGTTAATTTTCTTATAACTTCATTCTCGATGCTCCATAGCTTTCTCAATTATATTTGAACCATCTACTGCTCTGTACATCATTCTGTACACAGCTAACAGTTCTTCATTTTTTTACAGCTTTCTTCAAATAAGTTGAAATCTGTGAAGCATCATAATAGCATCATTTCATGCATGTATTTTGCACAAATTATTGAAAACACTAATATGGACTGTGTAATCTGCAATATTAAAAACACGGTTAGTGAATACTGGAGGTGATGTGGTTAAAGATTGGCCTTCATTGTTTGACCCAATTTTTTTTTCATATGTTGGATGGACCACATTTGGTAGATCACTTGATTATCGGGAGGCAGTATTGATAAAACTCTCACAAATATGGAATTTTCCAAATTCATCACAGTTTCATAGTAAATAATGACATTTAAGTCTGAATTAATAAAGTAAATCAAGCCATGATCCCCGAGTACTTTCACTATATGATGGAATGTCATATAGTTGTATGCAAAAGTGTGAACACCTGCTTACATGTTGCACTGATTTTTTTTAAGTGAAAATAAGTTAATACATCCTCTACAGAGAATGTACCTAAATATGTTTATGCTAATTTTAGCGCACAGTTTCTATTTATTTGCTAAGTCTAACATTTTAGAAAAAAATAAAAAATACAGTATAAAATGTTCCAGGACTTTAAAACAGGTCACATTTTATGTTTTATTTCTTCCCAATATATTATGTTCAGCAAATAAACAGTTACTTTCCACTAAAATGTGCAGAAGTGTGTTGTCTGTAGAGGATGTGTTGACCTATTTTCACTCAGAAGATCAACAAAATATTCGACCAGGGGCGCCCAAACTTTGCACACGACTGCATCTTGTTTCATTTGGACTCCAGTCCAGTCTTTTTCGTAGTACACTACCATTCAGAGGGTCGGAATCACTGTTCAAAGTTTTTGACGATATAAAATCGATTTTGCTGCAGATAAATGTATAAAAAGATTGTAATATGCTGGTCCTGTGCAACTTGACTGGCTACAAATAATTAATAGGGAACCATGAAGCTGTTATTAATATCCATGATGCCTCGTATCGTGCAAATTTCCAATGTGTTAAACTCAGCAACTAAATACAAACTGTACAGTAAAATTTTCAGAAATATGCCATATGTAATTGTTTTCTCCATAGAGGATGTGTTAACCTGATGTGTTATTCTCACTTTTTTAAAACTTTCAAAACACGCAACGTCATCAAACTTTTGCAAACAACAACAAAGTGGTCAGTTTTAGCATCCATAAGCCAATAAACATGCTTGTTCCAAAATCTTGACTGCTCATTTGCTGTCTCAGTTGCATTCTGTAAGCATATTATTAACATCAGTGCTCCTTGATTGGTCTGCAATCTCAGACTGTCATCCACTTCCAGTACCTAACACTCATTTCTGCTTTAAGCCATGCCCTCTTTTTGGTTTGAACTTCTAAAGAAGGTATCATTCAGGAATTGATATCAAAATTGAAAACATTTTAAAGATATCCAGCCCTTGTAGTGCATTAGTGTATCAGTGTGGTAATATGAGTAGATAGAATAATCATATGCATGTATCTTTATCTATCAGTACTGATACTGCCGTTATGTGAAGCACTACGTGCGTATCATTGCTGTTGGAAAAAAACTCATATCTCCAAAATGATAGCCTCATAGGAGAAGAAAAAAACTTGCTTAACCTGTAATGAAAGTTAATGTAACAAGATTTTTTCCCCAAGTAAAATTATGAAAATTGAACACATTGTAAGTTCATCTAGAGTTTTCAAAATTTACAAAAAGGTGAAAAGAAGTGGAGATACAGCGATGATATGAATATAGATGATATATCACCCAGTCCTGCCCTTGATTTATGAAAGCAGCAAAAGAAACTCAGAGGGAGCATTTGAGGGTTGGTCATTGGTGTTCACTGCTCACTGCACACAAACATTTAGTGATCAGTTAGACGGCTGATTTGCATCCTGCAGCCTTTTGTGATATAAATATTGTACAGGCCAGCATTACAATAGTAATTAGCAATAGATATAGAGCAGTTTTCACAGAGATTAGGACTTGAGTCAGTTTAAGTTGGAGAGTGTCAGTGATGGCGCACATGAGAGTGAGTATGGGGTAGCGTGAGTTAGAGGATGGGTGAGGGACAGTAGTTGTCTCATTTGCTCTTTCACTCTGAGTCACTCTGAGAAAATTCAGTTACCCCGCAGCAGTGAAGTGTTCCTTGGTTAAGTGTGTGAAATTTTTTTTTTTTTTCTTCCTTTTTACATTCACCTGTGTTAAAGTCACCAATAGTATGTGATGGATTGCTCTATCACTCAGACAATGCAATGATACCTTATCTCCTCCATTCTCGCACTCTTCATTATTCTTCCATCTTTTCTTCCACTCCCTCCCTCTCTCCCTCCTTCTCTTTTTCTCCACTCCCGAGGGAGAGAAGATTCTGCCTGCTGCTCGTTAGAGCTCCCAGCCAATCTGCATTTTTAATTAGCAGTTATTGCTTCTGCTTAATATGCAAGTGCTACCCTGGGCCAAATGGGAATCCTTACAAAAAAAAAAGAGTGCGGGAGAGGAAGAAAGAAAGAGGGGGTAGCGAAAGAGAAAGAGACGGGTTGGGTATTGTGTTTCACTCCAGGACCTCGAGACAAAAGCCCCCCCCCCAACCTTGGCACCCCCCACCCCAGCCTCCTCCACCCGGGGGAGAGATTTGGAGGCAGAAGGGGGTTCGTACAGAGAATCTGAAGGTGCACGCATAGGGGTGATGATGTTACCGTGTTGTTTCGCGACATGTAGGCCTCCTTTCCTTTGCTCTTTGTTCCTAAGTTGAACTTATTTTCACCATTTCTTTCCCCCCCTCGCTCCTCCTTTTAACCTCCTTCCCGGAGGCTCAAAGGCACTTCTTCTCCTTTAAGAAGTGTTCCTCTCCAGGCCTCGAGCCTTAGACGGAGGGGGAAAAGGCAGAGACACTTTTTAATCTTCTATTCCTTCACCCCACCCCCCAACTCCCCCCAATAAAATACAGAAGGATTTTGACTTGAGGAGACATGAAAGAGGCTTATACCATTCAGCCCCTGAGCCCTTTGGCAGAAAGAAATGAAATGAAACGCGTTCTCCCTTCAGTTTTTCGGGATCCTCTTTCCTCATTTTGATTTATGCAGAGAGGCCCCATTTATCAAGGAGGCTGACTCAGGCCTAATTTGCATAAAGCCTTCATTTCCCCCGTTCCGCTAATTAGCAATTTGCCGCTTAATTGGTGAGTGGCTCTCAGAAAAAGAGAGACAAAACTCGCCATATTTGAAAAATGTCTTCAGTCCTTCTTCGGCTGTTTGTTTTGTGGCTTCTGCCTTTGTCCTTCTCTTTACTCTTGTGGACACACCTAGCAGCCTCGACCCAGACCAGGTTACTGATGTGTTTTCTTTCTAGGGACGCTCTCTTTTTCTTTCACTTCACAGTTCCAGCCCCTTATGAGCCAGCTTTCTCACCTTTCCTTCAGCATGTGATTGATAAAGATTGCATGTAGAGCTGATTTCCTGTCAAACATACGCCACCTCGCAGCGTGCAGGTCCACAAGGCTTTATTAGCCCTCCAACTGCAGTTTGCCCTACTTTTGCGTTTGCCGTTGAACCTGTTTTCGCCCTACACAAATGAACTGGCATGACGTTCTATGAATTATGGGCCACCTCATTCTGGTGTCCTTTCATTTTCATGCTGCCGCGATCCTGCAAACTGTCTTGCTGGTTATCTCTGAGCGTTTTCACACATGACCTTAGGCACTGAGGGATATTATTTCCTTACTGGACTAGCCATGCCTGTTCGGGTGGCCCCTGCTTTGCATTTTGCTTTGTCATTCTCTTTCATAGTACCTGTATGCTCTTGTCACGGTGTATATGTGAGAGGGGCGTGTTGAAAGTGAGCCGTGTTGACACTTTGTTTTGATGGTCCACTGTAGATGGTCACCTTGTCTTTAACTCAGATTCAACTATGTGTCTGTTTAGTACAGTCTAATTAAACTTAGGGCCTTAGTCCTGCATTATTCTTTTTTCATATGTCCATTTTCCAAACTGTCAATTATTTACAATTAAACAGCCTGTTTTTGTTACTGTGACTTGAGACCAGTTTATATAAATGATCTCTGTTCTGATTGGCTGCTCTGCATTCAAATAGCAGTCCGAGCTGAAACACTCCTCATAAAATCAGTATGAATGGGCGGGGCTTAACTGCTGTAGACTGAATAGGCCGATATACAGTGGCATGCAAACATTTAAACACCCCTTTGTCAGATTAAATTTCTTTCGCCAAATTTCCTTTGGGATCAATAAAGTATCTATCTACCTATTTATCTATCTATCTACCTATTTATTTATCTATCTATCTATCTATCTATCTATCTATCTATATCTGTTATGTTTGTAAATTTGATTTTCTCAGTAAAAGCAAGTTAACACATCCTCTGCAAGGAACAAAATTAACATGGTATTTTTTTAAGTTTAATGCACAATTTCTATTTATTAACATGCTGGAAAATAGTAAAACATAAAATATATTAACTTTATCACTAACTCTGGTTCTAGTCGTAACCCGTACACATTGCTGATACATTTGTGGAGCTATCAAAATAAAGTGTTAGTCACGTTATCACCTGTGCTCTGTTGGCAAGGTACTGGTAAAATAATTCTCTCAATCTCTAATCCTGTCGCTCTCTCTCGCTCTCTCTCTGTTTCTTTCTAATCCAGATGAGCCATCCAGTTTCACCTGCCTGGTATGTGAATGTGTGTTGCCCACCGCATGGGCTCTCCTCCAGCATGCCCAGCACACGCACTCCCTGAACCTCTATCAAGTGGAGAGCAGTCATGGCCTGGAGATCTCAAAACCAGCGGCCACAATGGATATTCGTCACTTGGGTGCCACTCTGGCCTCTGCCTTCAACTCCACCACAAAACGTTTACCTCGTTCTAATCAGCCTCCCCGCCCCCATCAGCCCTCTGCCCCTTCTCCGGCGGGGCGGGACCTGCAGGGCCTGAACTTCTCCTTGTGTCTACAGCGGCTGGCGGAGGTCAGCTGCAGCAATGGAGGGGTCGTTCCCTCCCCGTCACCATCTCCCCCGGCAGCTTCACCTTTCCCTCATTCCACACCCTCTCTCCTGGGGACCTACTCCTGCGAGGTTTGTGGCCAAAGCTTCCAGTCTATCCGCAGCCTGTCCGCTCACCGCCGGACGCATGCCTGTGAGAGGCCCTACCACTGCGGCATGTGCCAGCTCACTTTCTCACAGAGCGGCGAACTGGCGCGCCATATGAGGAGCCACCGGCGGGCCCCCACCATGGATGAGATCGAAAACGGGCAGACCTCGTTATCCCAGCAGGCGCCTGGAGATGGTTCCACTGCTAGTTTGGGGAATCACGGGGCTGAGCTCGATCTCAGCAAGCACCCCGCAGCAGGTACAGGCTTAATGCTGCTGTCCTCTCAGTCTGGAGCCGCTGGCCGTGGCTTGGCGAGGTTCTACCAGCCTCAGGTGGAAGCCGGACAGGAAGAGGAAGTGCAGGGTGAGCCCCAGCAGCCTTCGCCTTATTCTAGTCCGTCTGAGGGCTCCCTGGAGAGCGGAGAGACCGGCGGCAGCGGAGAGAGCGGCATTGCCAGCGGCAACTGCACCCCAAAACGGCCAGAACGAGAGAATGAGAGAGAAGCAGAGGCAGAAGCTGTAGACATAGTCCAGGAGTGGCAGCAGGACAACGAGAGAAGGCAAGTCAGCAGTGGAGCAGGCCGAAAGAAAAGAGAAGAAGCTTGCGAGTTTTGTGGAAAGAGGTTTCGCAACAGTAGCAACCTGACGGTGCACCGGAGGAGCCACACTGGAGAAAGGCCATACCGGTGCGGCCTTTGCAGCTACGCCTGCGCCCAGAGCAGCAAGCTCACTCGCCACATGAAAACACATGGTGCCCGTGGCTCCAGAGCGCCTTTCCAGTGCCAGCTATGCTCCGTGCCCTTCACTGTGTATGCCACGCTGGAGAAGCACTTGAAGAAAGCACACGGAGTTAACCAGGCCACTGCTGGGGTTTACAGCCACAGTCCTCCAGTTAGCTACACCGTCAAACTGGAAGACGATCCTGCCAGCAATCACTCAGAAGCTCCAGTCCAAGGCGTCACAGAGACAAACGTGGACATGTATGAGAATCTGAAAGAGGAAGACTCCGAAATGAGGGTTGACAGTGCTGCATCACCCACTCCTGAGGACTCCAGTGGAAAGGCAGATTTGAGCCTGGCTCCAAACACTGCCTGAGCTAAGACAAACCTCCATAAGGCCACTTGGATCTGATACCTGGCAATCAATATCTGAGCTCCACCAGACTGAAAAAAGATAGGGGCCATGCTAAATGATCAAATATTCTATATTTGAATGAAAAACCAAGTGCCTGCACATCAACTACTGTGATCATTCTTGTATAGATTTGAGGACTGAGACTGAAGTCAGTGATTTTATGACTCATGTTACAGTTCTGCTGTGGGACTGTGAAGGCTTATGAGCCTGAGGACATGGGACAGAGTCACACGACCGTTCATAGAGACGGGCGTGGATGCCAGGCAACCATCCTGGAACATCATCTACTAGGGATGAACAGGAGCACCTGCAACAGATGTGATTCTTGGCGGTATTCAGGATGAGATTCTACCTGAAAAGGGGGAGATCTTCTGTTTAATCTGTCGCTCTACATGAGACCCATCAGAGGTCCATCATTTGTAAAGAGTTCTTTAGTTATTCTTGAGTTGTTGGAAGAAATTATACAGATAGTAAAGGAGTGCATGGATATCTGTAATACTTCCTTTCTTCAAAATCTCTCACAGGGTTGTACGACTATGAATTTTTGAGATTATACTCTGAACGGGACTTTCTTTTTTTTTTAACCTAGAGATAGGCTTAACTTGTGTCCTCAACAGAGGACCTGAATTTTGTGCGCATTTTGATACTGTTTATAAACAATACACAGTGTGGGTATGTGGCAGTGAACATTAAAGGGGAAATCCACAATTTTTTTTTTTTTTCAAAATTTCTGCATAATTCAGTTGTTGAGATGTAAACAAACTCATTCAGAGTGGATTTATGGGAAATGGTTCATTGTAAAGAAAGTTTACAGTGGTGGTGATAGGAACCAGGGGTCGCAATGTCTAGAACCCAAATATAGTATAATATATAATGTTTTATTTACTATCCAAAATAACCAGCACACCTACTGTCTGAGTTTTTATGTGTAATGTTGAGGGTAAAATGGTGGCATATCTGAAAAAACAATCTTGGGGACTAAAAAATCTACCTCAAATGGATTTAAAAAAAAAAAAACAAAAAGATGTTTTAGGCCAAAGCTCTGCCTATTCATAAACAATAAATATACTGACTTTGTGTGAGGGAGCTTTTAAAGGCATTAAAGACATCTGGTTCCTATTACCACCACTGTGAATAGTTTTGACTCCTAAGTTTCTCTAAAATGGAGCATTTCTTGTCAAATAACTCTGAATGATTTTGTTTACATATTAACAGTTTAATTAGGCAGAAAAAATGAAATAAAGTGGAATTCCACTTTAATAATCTTAACACAATCTTCTGTGCTCACAGAGCTGCATGTCTTAGATTTTTGTACATTTTGTATTTTTAGCCTGCACTTATACATCTTTTGTCCATTGTAACCAGTTCATTTTGTCACATGCTGTAATGTTTGATTGTTTTTCTAGCAGCTAAGCTCCTATGCATAAAACTGAACTCTGTAATTAAAAAGAAACGGGTGTTTGCTTTCTGTTATGTATATACTCCACAGGACTCGCTGTGCTGTTTACAGATTATTCTCTTTACAGGTTGCCTGAGCACATATGCATGTCATGAAACGTTCCGTTCTTTTTGGCCTGCGTTGAGTCGGTTCTCGAGGGTACTGCATGTTTTGTGGTCGTGTAAATGAAAAGCCTTCCTTCAGACGAAAAACTGGGTGGGGAGTGACAGCACTGACCTGTTGATTGGTAGACCTACCGTGTGAGCACTTGAGAGTTGTGTGCGTCTGTGTGAGTGTGTGCGAGCTGAGGTTTGTCTGGTTACATGTTCACACAAAAAAAGTTTGCTTTGTAATTTTATTTTCTATGACTATTAATGTCTGTAATCTTTCAGGGAACTGTTGTACTACTGTTTCTTTTGGATAAGAATATAGTTCTGAGTCTGTATGAATAGACAAATGTGAAAAGCTGTCGGGCACATGGTGTCCATTTCTTCAGGGACCAGCACACTGTATATAGCCCCCACTTCTCCCTAACCACAATGGATTTTGTTGTCGTCCTAATCGCTTTGGAGTTCACTTATAACTGTTATGTATATGTTTTTTTTTTCCCAGCATTCCCTGTGAAGCTTATGCCTCTACTGTTCTGTAAACTTGCCATAATTTTGTTATTTCTATGCTTGTGCAGATGTTAATTAAAATACTGAAACAAAGTCAGGAGCGTCCGTGTGCGCCTCTGTGTGTGTGTGTGTGTGTGTGTGTGTGTGTGTGTGTGTGTGTGTGTGTGTTTCTGTAGTGGAATGGAACCTGTCACTACTTGTTTGAGAACACATCAAGAATTCATCTGTGTTTGCACTGGCGAGCTGCTCCTCTCTCACTCCACTGCTTTTGAATCATGCTCTGACTCAGAGGTCATTCAGTGGGAATTCTGAATATGATTTCTGCTGTATGTACATGTGTCCCAATCAGGATGACTGAGTATTGTTTCTTTCTTTCTATTCAACTTCTGCAGTTGCTGTAATGCAAACACGTACAAAATTTTACGGTCAGTTCTGTGTAAAAGTCACCACCCTTCATTTATTTAATTCAGGGAAAAAAAGCAGAAACATTTAACAGAAAATTCCACAGAAGCCTCAACAACTAAGTATAATACCAACTCTGTCAGTATTAAGTGTGTCCACTCTATCTTTATTACAGCTTCCATTCTTTTCAAGAGACTCGCTTTCAGTTTTTCAAGGAAATCTTTGATATTTTTCCACAACTTCAAAGTTCAGTCTCAGAAGTTGGTTGAATTTTCTGCTTCTCGCGATCCAAACAATCCCAAGTACATTCAGTGATGTTGAGCTCTGGACTCTGGGGTGGTCAGTCCATTGTTCTGAGAACACCAGCAGCTTCTTTGTTTGATGTGTCTGTCTCGTTTTCTCAGTGAGGGCTTCTTGACAGCTCCTTTCAGACCCATAGTGTTGCGTTGTCTTCTCACAGTGGATGGATGAACAGAAACACCTGTGGACTTTTTCAGATCTGAGCCAAGAGTGGAGCTTGATTTTCTCCTGTCCCTTAGCTTTAAGTGCTGTTTATTCAATGTGGATAGTTTTGGTGGTCTACTAAGTCTTGCATGGTTGTTAGGGGTCCCAACTTTTACCAGGTTTTTGAACTTTAGGTTTGGAAACTTTGGCAATTGGATTACTTTATAGCTTATTAGTATTTTATCAGCTCCACTTACCATATAGGCCCACTTTGTTGATCTTTAATTACAGACTGTGGTCCATCTGTTTCTCTGAATACTTTGTTAGCCCCCTTTCACCCTGTTCTTCAGTGGTCAGGACCACCACAGAGCAGGTATTATTTGGGTGATGGATCATTCTCAGCACTGCAGTGATACTGACTTAGTGGTGGGGTGGTATGTGGTATGTGTAGATCAGACACAGCAGTGCTGCTGGAGTTTTTAAACACTGTTTCTACTCACTGTCCACTCTATTAGACACTCCTACCTTGTCGGTCCACCTTGTAGATGTAAAATTACAGAAAATAGCTCATCTGTTGCTGCACAGTTTCCTCTAGTCCTTCATCAGTGGTCATAGGACGCTGCCCACAGGACACTATTGGCTGGATATTTTTGGTTGGTGGACTATTCTCAGTCCAGCAGGGATGCTGAGGTGTTTAAAAAGTCCTGCAGCACTGTTGTGTCTGATCCACTCGTACCAACAAAACACACTCTAACATCCCAGTATCACTGTCACTGTGTACCTGCTCCGTGGTGGTCCTCTGGGAGTCCTGTCCATTGATGAACAGAGTAAACAGATTTTGCAGAGAAACAGATGAACTGCAGTTTGTAACTGTAGAACTACAATGTTCCTAGATGGTAAGTGGAGCTGATAAAATGAACAATGTCTGTAGATAAAGTGGTCAGTAACCATAGATATGCACCCCACCATTCACTTTATTAGAAACACCTTCCCTGTATTTCCACTCACTGTCCACTTTATGAGCTCCGCCTACCTTATAGGTCAACTATATAGGTGTACAATTACAGACTGTAACATCTGTGGTCATGCACAATTCATCGGTCTCTCTCTACCCCATTCATCATTGGTCAGTTTCTGACCACAGGGCCACTGTTTCCTTTCTGGGGTTTTTACACACGTCAATGCTATGTTGAGAGTGGTCCACCACCCAGAAACATCCAGCCAAGACCAGTTCTGTGGTCAGAAACTGACCATTCATGAAGGAGAGAGGTAAGCACAACGTGTACAGCAACAGATGTGCTATAGTGCCAGGCAGGTGGGACTACACTTACCTTGTATCTACACTCACTGGCCAGTTTATCAGGTCACTTTGTATGTTTACAATCACTGACTGTAGCACATCCCTTGCCATCCAGCAGAAAGGGACCAGCATAGGACCTCCGCTGACCAGATATCATTTGATTAGTGGACCATTTTCAGCCCAGAAGTGACACCAGCCTGTTAGTGGCATGGATAGTGTGTGTGTGGCTGGCAGTGTTGCTGTGGGTTCAACACACGTCAGTGTCACTGCTGAGTTGAGAATAGTCTGCCAACCAAAAATATCCAGCCAAGGCCGGTCCTGTGGTCAGAAACTGACCACTGATGAAGAGCTAGTGGATGACTAACACTGACTGTAAGTCTACAACTAAAAGACATACAAACAAGGTAAGTGTGTCCAATAAAGTGACCACTAAATGTATCTACAGCTGCATGCAAATGGTCGGGCGCTCCTGGTCAATCATTACATGTTTTGTTGATGTGCAAATAAGTTGATGCGTCCTCTACAGAGAGCACACTTCACAATTTAACAAACAACTACTGTTTATTTGCTGAATTTAATATATTGGGGGAAAATTCAACTAATTAAAAATAGACTGTGCAGAAGTTATGGCACATTTAATATTTTTAATAATTTTAATTTTTTTCATACATATAAAATTCAGCAAAAAATGAACACATTTACTGAAATTTGAAGAAGAACATCATATTTATATCACCTCAGATCCTTTATATGAATATCATGTACCATCGCCAAAAAAGTGATACTGCTAAACTGGAAGGACAGATATCAAAATTTCAATAAAGCACTGGCTTTATCTTACAGATCACTGCAACTTGGAAAAACTTATTTTTACAAATTTTAAAATTGATACAAAACCATTCAACAAAACCTGGTCAGAATTTTTACAGTATATTGAAAACGAATTTATCTTTCCAGACTCTTTAAGAAAAAGGTTAAAACCCATACATAGAATCTGACACCTACCCCCATCATAACTACAGCGTGAAAAAAGGGGGGAAGGAGGCATTACTACCCTCTTTATTGTTTTGTTACATGTTCTTGTTTGTCTGTCCTGTATTGTCAGTTTGTCCACTGTCAAAATATTTTTTGTTTCTCTTCCTTCCTCTTCTGCCTTGTCTCTCAGCTATCTCTGTCTTTCCTTTCACTTAAAGAGAAGGCATGGGTGGGCAGGGGGGGTGTGGTGTTAGGAGGAGTGACTGTGAGTGGAGGGGGGTTGGGTGGTTTTGGTACCACACCACCTTATATCTCTATGATTATTAATAAATGATGAGTTGTGACATTAATAGTGAAACCAAAAGGAAAATAAATGTCATTTATATAAACATTTATATAAACATCATCCACTTTGTAGGTCCACTTGTAGCCAGCCTCTAGATCAACACCAGAGCTTTTCAACAGATGGACTACAGTTTGTAATTATATGCCTATATATTGGGCCTGTAAGTGCTGAGCATGTTTGAGCTTGTAACATAATGACATAGAGCTTTTAATTGCACATGAATAGGGATTTGACGAGCTCCAGTCACCCCTCTCATAAACTGTCATAGAAACGGCTTGAGTTAATTTGGCAGAAGTTAGGTTAGTGAAATTTTAACTAAGTAAGAAATGCTTTGGGAAGGTCTTAAGATCACCCCAGTGAAAGCAAAGAGGCAGCTTGTACACGTACTGGCCACTTTAGTAGAAACTCCCTCTTGTGTAGCTCCACCATGCTGGTGTACAGTTTATCTGTTGATGCACAACATAATTTACATTAGTCCTCCTCTAATGTAGGCCTTTCATCAGCGCTCAGTTTCTGACCACAGTGTTGCTCCTGGCTAGATATTTTTGGGTGGTCTACTCTCAACCTGTCACTGCTGTGGGAAAGGCCCACCACCCAAATGATATCTGGTCATCAGTGGTCCTGTGGTCAGAATAATGAACGGGGTAATAATGAATAAAGGTGACCGATGATGAAAGGGTTAGAGGGTATATGACAACAGATGGGCTACAGTCTGTAACTGTACATCTATATAATGGACCTTTAATTCAGGTGGGGCTTATAGAGTGGACAGTGAATGAGGCAGTAGGGTTTTCTAATAAAGCAGATGTAATGATCTAATAATCTGTCTGCTTTGCATCATCTGTCTGTTTTGTATCTTTATGTCTAGCTGGTGGTGGCATACAAGTTTCCCCTATGAGCATTATATATCTATCTAGACGGTGGATGTAAGCACATATAGATTGCGTCTTCGAAAATATTCATTTTTTGTATATTTATGAGTGTATATACAGTATTTGCAGTACTCTGGTGAAAATAGAGATGAGCCCTCATTTGTTAGTCATGCTTTTTTCTTGACACTGACAAGCATGACTAACAAATGAGGGCTCATCTCTATTTTACAGCTTCCATTCTTTTCAGGAGACTCACTTTCAGTTTTTTAGAGAAATCTACAGGGATATTCCACACCTCCACAGTTCAGTCTTAGAAGTTGGTTGCATTTTCAGGTTTCTAAATGCCTGTTTTGACCTAGAATAAATGACGTGTGATCTGTGACCTTTGTACAGCACTGTATGTCTACACACTTAAATATGATGGTTCTTCAAAGGTTCTTTAGTAAAGAAAATGGTTTATATAAAACTATTAACATTCAAAGAATACTTTTCATGGTTAAATAGTTTTTTGCAATGCGAAAGTCTTCATCAGATTGATGGAGAATGTGCTGGAGATGGTTCTGTATAGAAAAGGATTCTATATAGCACTAAAAAGTGTTCTTCTACACACTTAAAAATTAGTTCTTTAAGGGTTCTTTAGTAAAGAAAATTATTTTATTTAGAACCATGTACACTCAAAGAGCTCTTTGCATGATTAAAGGGTTCTTTACATCATAAACGGGTTCTTCAGATTGGCAAAGAAATGTGTTAAATATGGTTCTATATAGAACCTTTTTGAAAAGCGTTCTTTATAGGA